TTCGAATCTCTTTACCCAACACTTTCACTCGAAATGGAAGTAAGCTCAACAGTTATGAAACAAGAGATTCTTCGAAACCTAACTTTTCTTCTCATATTTTACTTTCGTTTCAACTGTCTCTTTATTTCATTTTATAACCCTAAGGCATTATAATGAATAGGAAGCCTAATGGTTCATAGTGAACTTCAATGTCGATAATTTGATTAGGTCAAGCAACACGAATTGCTTTTCAGAAAAATAGAGTTTATATTTTTTTCCTTTTTAGTCCCGAATCAATTTGCATCAGAGACTGCTTTTATATTATTTTAATCACTTTTTAGCATGAATTTTTGGCTTGTTAATTTCTGGAATGCCCCCTAATTTGTAGGCCTTGATAAATATATATTTATCATTATTGATCCACTAGGATAAATGTAGTTTCTATTACTGATACTATTCTGAAATGAATAAGTGAATATTTAACCGACTAGTATAAAGTATTATTTAACTTTTCTCATAACTATGCACTGATTTCAGCCCCTCCAGAGATAGTACTACATTCAGAAACCTTGCTAACCTTGCGACAAGATTCCGATCTCCGCCTGTTCTGTGTCCTTCGTGTAGATGCACGCGACGCTCTCCATCCACTTGTCTGGCGGTGGACACGGTCCTCACCTGGGACCTCTACTAACGTGTTGGCCTCTAGCCATCAAACCGTGATTACCGGACACATACGTGGTCGGATGCAAGTGACCTCGGTTTGGCTGTCTGACAACGTGTTGCCTGGGCTGAACAATTCTGAACTGGGTCAATGGCGCCAAATTTTGAATCTTGGCATGCGGCATGGTCATGTGAGACTGTTCTTCTCGGAGTTGATGATCCCGGCTGTACATAGACACGATAGTGGCTTATTCGCCTGTCATTTCAGCTCCTCGCTTAAAAATCTTACAGAAACCATGAAGATTGAAGTAAGAATTTCTCTAAGCTGTTAAATTAAATCTATCAATATATATATATATATATACGTTTATATACATAGTTATTATCCTTTATATTGTTGATTAAGAGATAACAAATTAGATCGAGCTGTAAAGGCCAAGATGGTGTGGCCTTTGGTATCCTCGATTAAACTACGTTATTAAGATTTCCATACAATGCTCTAAATACAACCGAACAAAGAAGAGAAATCACTCTTTCGATCTGATCTTTTTAAACTGATGTGAACGTTATGGTACCACTCATGAATTCCGTGTCCTTAAGAGACTCTACCGCTCAGATAGGGTTAATAAGATTCTTCATCAGGCCTTCATTTAGAAGTTAAGTAAAATTATGATTTGGTTAAGAATAAGCTATTCAAATTTATATATATATACGACACGACGATAAATTGATCAGTTTTTTCTTATAAGACAGCATAAGTCAAAGCCAGTGGTCCCAGTTAAAGTGGTTTCCGAGGTGACAACACTTACTGATCAGTACGACGGTCTGAATAAAGTAATGAATCTATCTTCCCTTCCTCTTAATCCCCAATCCACCACCATATTGAAGAAAGAACTCAACTTTTCACTTTAAAATGACAGAAGCCTTCTATAAGGCATCCTGATGAATGTTATCAATATCTCCTGCAGGTGGCCTAAGGTTAATAGTCAACTACAAGTTTGGAGCAATGCACTAATTGGCAAAGTTAATATGTTTGAAACTCAAGAAGTTAAATGACAGGTTCTCAAACAGTGAAACATTCGTATGAATTTTCTCAAAGAATTAAAGACATGACACTGGAATAAACAGAATTTTTGGTGAGTTTTGATGTACAATCCAATACATGTACAAAAGCACCCCTGGAGAAAGAAGCTAACGGCCCTGCTTCAAATCTTCGATTAAGAGGAGGATATTCTGGAGGCAGAAAGGATCAAGAGGGAGTCGTTAAGACGACTAATCAACTTGGGAATAAGGAAAACCTATTTCACATTCCACGGAAACATCTATGAAAAATATTTGGACTTTCCATGGGATCGCCGCTCTTACCTCTTTTGGCAAACGTCTACATGAACAAATTAGAAGAGGATTTCAAGACGTCACCGCTGTAACCAAGAGTACTCATACGGTATCTGGATGACTACTTCGCACTAGTCACATGGAAGAGAAAAATGGGCGGAATTTCTGGAGTTTATAAACTAGCTATGTTAAATACCTATATTTATGAACTAGTATTTGATTTTTGACGTCAGTATACAGATAG